AGTGTATATGTGATCAGATTGTTCGAAATGTATTGAGTTCTGATAACCTTCGTCTTCTTACTACATTATCCAAACATAAATTAGGGTTATATGTTCGGACTCCAATAACTTCTGTTATACGTAGGAGACGGAATCGAACCCGTTTGGTAAATAGCAAAGGTATACAATTGGTCACTTAAAATGATTCCGTTTATTATACCATATGTCCACTGTCAGTCAGGTGTACCGGGATAGAGCTCGGTACTATCCTTGACTGATCCTTTCCAAACCAAGGTAGGAGAAGTTCACTCATTTGTTGGTTAATTTGCCTTCTAGTACGCCCAGTATAGTTTTCTCAGCAAAAACAGCTGGATTTGTAGAGGAGCCAAACTCAGGTAACCTATCCTTTGTTTGAATAGGCATCACTGGTCCACTATAAAATATCAACTCAAGGTTGACTGCATAGAATGTACTATTTACTACTCTTAAGATTATTCCTTTAAAGTCTATGTATCCAAGTTTGATTTATTCCCTTTGTTGAACTATTGACTAGAACATTTTTTATCTTATTATTGCTATTACTCTTGCTACTACACCTGTCTTCTTAATACTAATTTGTACTTTTTAACTATTACGTGTAGTTATACAATCTATTTCATTGTGATTAATGACTTATAAATTGGTATGACTGATTTAAAAAATCTTCATATAAATATTTATGTATACAAGAGTAAAGCCTGATGACGATGTAATTGGAATCAATAATATTCGCCTTTATGTATTGTTCTTTTTTTATCTTCGCAACCCTTTATATATGATCTCTTACTGAAGAAAAGTATTAGAAATGTAAGCAGAATATAAGTTAAATGAAATACAATGCCAGTATTTTAACTAGTTGAGTTTATCAAATCGTTAGACAATGGCTACTAAAGTAATGCAAGACGTGCGTTCCATTTTTAATTTCGATGTACTATGTGGATTTACCTTCATCTTAGCGTTGACGCTTACATTAGAACATACTCTGACTACTTAATTTAACGTATCACTTTGTATATATTTTGATTTATCAATGTGGGGTTGTGGAGATCGTTACGTTTTTGATTGGGATAATTAGTCGATACAAGCTAGATTCGAACCCAGGACCTATGGTCCCACGCGCGAACACTTAACCTCTAGACCACTGAGTCGGCATCCAACGGTGTTAATGCCTAATTTCGACCAATCTACGAAAGTGAACGATCATCTTCCATTGTCTAAGGTATATACCATTCTCTAAGTGACGCGGATTTCGATTTTGTTAGAGAGTTTGCTTTTTTCATGACTAGATTTATAATAGGAAAACCTTTGACAGACTCAATTGAATGAACAACAAATTTCGATAATAATACACTATAAGAATGATATTCAACAATGATAGTGTAATCAAAAATGGGATTTTTCAGAACAATGTAATATACTAACACAATACATATTGAATGATCTGATCACAAATATATACTTGCTAATACTTTTATATGTGAAAAATAGAAAGTCAACTTCGATAAATTGAACAGAAAAACAAAGATAATAAAGAGGATGATATGAGAAAAGCGACCCCACACAAAGTGTCACACAAATCTCATTTGATTTGTGTGAGGGCTGTGATACTGATTGGGTGCCCAAACCGAAGCAAGTGGTTTTCGTAGGGGGCCACAGCCGGAGCCTTTGACCTAAAGATTTGATCCACAAGGCAGTGGAGCATTGTGAGGAGATGCAGTCCCATGGTAGACAGTGACCAACGATTGATTCATACACCATTTGTTCCTTCAGGATACTGGAGCCCATGTGCACCATTGGTTTGAAATCAGGGTTTTCCAACTCCCCTAGGTGAACTTTCCATGTCCATCAACCCGGTCAATGCACCGGACATTCGCTTTTCGTTCTCTCAATTTCGTAAACAGTGCCCACGCCACGAGAATGCAGTGAGTAGGACTTCCCTGGTAGAGGCTATGTACGCATGGCCATGTGAGAGCATTTCGAGAGGGAGAGCGAACTCTCCCGATTGTCGACCATACCAAGGCATTTGGGGGCACTACCAAAACACAATAATGAAATAACATTTTATTGCATCTTATTTCAAATCATCAAATCTCACGATGAAACTTTTCTTTAAAATCATTGTTCACTGAATAGATTACCAAAAGCGCTGGTTATAAAACTTTGCCAAAATCATCAGTATGTTATATTGAATCATTTTATCTCATCTTTCGTCATTAATTATCAGTGCAAATATATATAACAATTTATTGAATAGGATTAAGTTATTATAATTTATCATAATCTTCATATTGAAAAACAATTGTTCATTAAGAAAACTTTTCTTCCGTATCATTCTTTTCTTTATTTTTTTTCTTCTCTAAGCTGAACATCCAATTTTCGTCTGATATCATCTGGTCAATAGATTAATGACTCTGTTATGCATCGTAGCTTCATTTTTATCTTTAGACAATCTTTTTCACAATTTTCCTGATAAATCATAAAATTTATAATGATTATGCGTTTTGTAATTAGCCCAATAGAATTTACGTACATTTAAAGGACACTCAAGAAACAAGTAAACTTTGTCAGACGAGTTAATTGGTTGACTGTAATTCATCTTCTATACTCTTTTGTTGTCTAAATCAAGATACATTGATTGATAAAGTCGTTTATATGATATTTTTTTACTAAAGCTTTCTAAGTGATGATACAAATGGGAACTGCCTTAATCAAAATATCAAACTGTCATTTCTTCTAAGTAATATTTGACAGAATTATTTGAAATTTCTATATTGAACTTAAATTAGTTTGCGTATCATTGGAAAAGCTAAAAAATCAACTGAACACTGTCTCATCCTGGTTTAATATTCCTTAGCTATGGACACCCACCACCCTACATAGAATCACAGCTAGTATTTATGTGAATCATAGCAAGAAACATATGTCTATGCAAATCAGTTAGTTTACATTTCAGAGTATAGTCACTTCATGATGATAAATTGACAACCATAAAATGTAAAGTGTGATAATTGTTTGACATTCAATATGATTTAATCTTGCAAATTCTAAATTTATACTAGAACTTCCGGTATTCAAAACTGATTGCTAGTGACTGAGCATTCTACGTCTGGTTAGATTATTTCTAATGAAAATATCATAATAAAGTAACATATTTTTGCACACTAGCTGTAATTTAGTTTTGATCAGTAATATATTGCATACTGAAAAAAGGAAAGACATGAAAAATCATATAAATTTATTGACTAATTACAGGTATACATTGCTAATGAGTACCAAATAGTAGGAAATCTAGGTGCATGGTTTCCTGTTGACTACCTACACTGACCTTGCACTTCAACATAATGCACACAATGTCCAGTTACTAAGACTAATAGATGCATTGCAACCTGGCCGGTAGAATTCGATGCACCAAGCGGGATATGACACAACACTGTTCAGTGAACAATCAACTGCTGATACATTTCGGTCGGAATAGATCGATGATAACGTCTCTGAATATGAAACTGTGTGATATGGGTTCGAATCCATCATGCAACATCATTTCACTCAAGATTTTAATTATATCTTGCTGAAAAAAGTAAAATATCCCGAAAGTTATATCCAAGGTTTCCTGTTGATTACCTCCAATCACCTTACATTGTTTATCTTGTCTCTCATTTGTCTTCGTGTTAGTGGAGTCTCATAAAACTCAATTGCACATAGATATACATCTATTATTAAATGATTTATCGCTTGCTGTCAGAAAATATGACAATTATCACTAGTTTTATCTAAAATTAGTCAGTACACTTCCGAAATCTAAGTTTTCTATGACTCTTGTAGATATGTAAACACATTTACAGCCAAAAGATTTGGTAAGAATACATAGTAAATAAATGAAACATCACTTTTAATACATATTTGCATATTAAGAGAATTCATTAAGCTCATAGTGTTTATGCAGTTTTATTGATTAAACAGACGAAACTGAGGATAGATTTTTAAGATCTACTGGATATATGTATATATTGGTTTGACTTTTCCTGTTATTGATATTTTTAATAAAATTGGACCAGTCACTATTGTCATATGTATATTTTGAGTAAACTATCTCGAAGTGAACATCAACACTGAGATACAGGCAGTTTCAGTTGATGGGTTCCGAAAAGAATAAAACATGTGCGTCAATAATTCTATTTCTAGTCTCAATCTAACTTTAACATTTCAATTTATTCCATATGATTATGTTGAATCAGTTCAGTGAATGCAGTTTTAACGTTTATATTAGATACTATTTTTAATTCTAATTTGATGTTTGTACATGAAATTATAAAATAATTTAAAAGAACTAACCTCTACCTGTCTATTATTTGGTGTCAGTTCATTTAAAAATGTTTATATGTTTATGCAAACTATGAAGACCACCTATACACAATAAACATCTTTTAATTATTCTCTGTCAATCTAATTTTGGTATTTTCCCTTTATATGATTGACTTCTTTTGTAAATAAACTACTGACAAATCATGAACAAGTAGTTTTAACCTAAGCAGTAATAACATAATGGCAAACAATATAGAAAAATAACTTTGATAGGAGTGTGTTGAGTGTAGTGTAACCATAAACAGAGTTCATTAGTTTTCTTCCTCTAAAAGAGTTTCTACTTAAAGTAACCTTATTTTAAAAAATTATTTCAAACTTAGAGGATGTTAATTTTAGCAACTAATGACAAGTGAATTGACTAGTGAATTTCCAGTGATCTACTGTAGTTCATAATTACTTCGTAGATCAGTCATATGTTACACATCGGATAAGTTTTATAATTCAAAACAAAAGATTTTACTGAAACTATGGATTATTCAGTGAACATTACAATAGGAACGTAATTCTCTATTTAGTTGAATTTATTTTAACTATTTAAATTCTTTTCATTTTATCATTAAAAGGTTATACTGCAAAATATATGGTCACTTTTGTTTACTTTTTTATGAATGATAAATAAGGGACTTTATGTGGATGTTGTACTTCCAAATTCTGCCGCTTATGAAGCTGGAATTAAAGAAGGAGATGAATTAATCTGTGTAAATAATCAAATAGTTACAAGTTGGACACAAGAAGCAGCTTCAAAACTATTACGTGAATTACCGGATGAGGATTTCGTAATGTTACATTTTCGAGAATTTTTTCATCCTCATGGTTTTAACAATATTGCTCAATTAAATAAACAACTGAAAACTGTATCAATAAAAGAAAGCCTGTCTATGCCTCATTGTTCTACATTGAAATTAAACTCATCTCCTATTGAACTTAACTATGATCAGAAACATGATATTGATGAGTCATTTTCTTTCATAAATTCATTGAATAAAACTTCTGATAACACTGTAAACAAAGAGTATGTACCATTAAATTTCCAAGATACTCTGAATCAAAATGTCCATACAGATAACAGTAATAGCACTATTCCTACTTCCAATGTTCGCACACTGAATCATGATAAAGTTTTATGTGATTATCCAGTCAATGATACGCGGTTCGATGTAATTCCACTACAATCACATACACGCATATTAAATAGTTTCAGTGATTACACACTTGACTGTCCAAAATGCTTCATAAATGAACCACAAATCCAGTGAATGTGTACAAATATGCTTTTTTTAATTAAAATAAAGAAATAATGTGTCCAATAAAATTCTTAAAAATTGCTTTTGTAATATTGACAAATTCACGGGGAAAAGTTTAGCACACAGGTTTTGTGACTTTATGAGAGAAACAATTTTGTATTGTTTCATTTCAAGAAGTTAAATTCTACTTATCTGTGTATCAACTTTACATAGAGATGCCTATAATTTACATTCTGTGATATCATAATAATGACCATAGATACCATCTGTGATTGAATTTCAAACATGCTTTCAATCATATTTGACTATTATTTATTCTTTTCGCACTGCCAAAAGCCTTTATGTAGGACAAAACAGTTTGACATATCTAGTTGGTGCTTCGGTTATCAACACTCTCACGACCTATCTAATCTAAGACTGCATTATCCAAACTGATTAATCTTTGAGTAATAATCAATGTTAACTTTGATCAATCCTTAATCCTGGTTGCCATTCCTTAAGTGTAAAAAAACCTCTTTTAACGAGTTACAATTAATATAGAATCTACATTCAAGATCTCTTGCTAGTTACATTTAATCAGATAAGATTGGACTCAGAAGAAAAACTCATAAGGAACTTGAATAACAAATAAAGGTTAGCTATTAACGGGAACATAAACTAATAGTTTATAATTAAATATTTGTTTCTATCTTATAATATTTTCGAACAACTGTGTGAGCTGTTGTGAACTGAGCAGTAGTGAACATCTATATTTTTCGAATTTAAAGTCAATTAGCTATGTACAACTCAATATTCTACTCAAATTTTAAGAATAAACTCAAACTGAAAATTATATCAGACTCCGGTGATTCTATATATATTCTATATATATGCTGATAAATGACTTATCAGAACTGGAATAAATTCCCCCCTGATTCAGGCCGGTAATAAGAACATGATATGTTTATCCATTTTTAAACGAATTATGAGACTTAAATCATTATCAACGGACATTGTAAGCCTAGAACATCATTGTTCAATTATTAGTTCAATATTAATGTATTCTAAAATGTCAATTCATAAAAACATAAATCGGAAAAAGGGAAACTAAATTATCAGTGACTTCTAGATCACCCTGATTAGCTTTTTTAAAATGTCATCACGAAATAACTCAATGTATTTAGTGTATCGATTTTGTTTTTCAAATTTCGCCATTTTTCAAGGTTGTTCAAACATCAAATTCTCATTATCTTTTTTTCAATGATCAAAACTAATACTTAAATCAATTTGTAATTAATTTAAAATTATTCCACTTGAAGAAAATATATAGATCATCTATCCTTTCATTGAAGTATTTTTTCGGTGAATTAATGAAATGAGCCAAGTGTAGTTCTCAAAAATTTCCAGTTAGTGTTTTTTCAATTGTTTTATTGTTTAATTTTTAATATCGGTTACTATGTCAAGCCCACTCAGCTTATTCTACCTTCCGGACAGGCCGATTTATTCATTCTTATTGAGTCATACTTTGACTTAGTTAATTATTCGCTTATCAACCTTGACTGTTTTTATGTGAGTGTATGTGTGCACATTTCCTATCTTACTCATTATATGTCTGTAACTAATGTTTATCTGGCGATAAATATCGATTCACGTTTGACTAAATCGAATTGGCTTACATGCCTTCTCCACCGCGCTCTAGTTTTGCTTCGTTTCTCCGATCTATTGTCTGATCAGATTACCGATTGAATGAAATATACGTATTCGAAATTCGTTCTCGTATTTCACGTATTTAATTCCGTTATTCACCAACGCGATTTAAGCCGATAATTGTATATGAGGATTGCGGACAAGTCTGATTAGAATAGCTATCACTTAATAACAATCATTCATATGATCCAATTGGAGTCAGATTTCGGGCCACTAAAAATTACATAGTGTGGAAATTGAGATGAGTTCCAGGTAATGATTATGATTTACTGTTTAGATAGGTATGTTACTGCTGCCCCTAGATTTTTCTTTTTAGTAAACAATTTATTCATGAAATGGTAATGATTCATACATTCACTCTTTTTCACATCATTTACTTCTTACTAGCTCATACTTTGCTAATTAACAAAATCAACATCAGGATATGAATAATTTCAGTGTGGATCTGCTTTTAAAGAGTTATATATTCTTTGATGATTCCGATTATGATATTGAACACGTCCAGACGAGATTACTAGACGAAATGTAATTATTCAAATTTCAATCCCTGAGATTATTTCAAATGCAAATTGTACACATAATAGAGAACATGGCTTAAAGTTTCAATTTTTGTTAGCAGTGAATTTTGTTTATATATCTATTGAAAATACTATGACTTCCATTTAATCGTTCAAATAAACATGTAAATAGCCAAAAAAGCCCACTGAATTACATTCATTCAGAAGATTTCAATGTCAATATTTTGACATGTCGAATGTTGACATTTATATAACATTTGGAATTTAAGATGTGCTAGGTATCATTTAGAACATCAGTTAATAATGATAAATTTTAACAAAATAGGTACCAATGTTAATGGATATCAATCAGTTTTAATGTAAATTACATCAAAGATGAATTTTATTAATTAGGAAGCCTTTGGCAACACCTTTATTTTACTTAGTAACCCCTTAATAATGGGTACCTATGATCCTCGATATATTACTTCCAGGATCTTCAGATTCTGTCTTAAGTTTGATACGATAAGAATAGTCAACTTGGATTCATGGTATTACTCGTTTATCTTGGTCCTGACCTTGTTGACCTGCACGCCATTGTTTTTAAATATGACCGAAACTGTCTATACGTTTGTTCGAGCAAAGTCAATCTACATTTCAATTGCATATACCAAATGCAGAATCTACGAAACGACAAGAAATTATTCTACCAGTAAAACGCTATTCTTTAAGTTGGATCCTATTCTATAGGTGACATGATACATTAAAGGAATTATCACTTGATCAAGAGAAAACAAAGTATTGAACAGCATATTACTTTAAAAAACGTAGGAATAAAAGACTTGTTCAGCCGTATAGTTTCACATCTTTCCGTTGTTCGTCTTAAGGACTGCGACTGGCCAATCGCTGCTGACATCCGAGCACCTCGAGAGTAATGAACATAAACACTGAACTACAGATACATCCGGGTGAAGAGTCTCATATAGGACGAAAAGTGTTCTCTGAATTCGACTTCTAACAACTATCTAACGGTGAATATACAAAATTTTCATAGCTTATTACAGTTTTTCGATATAATCAGTATACTTGCAGTAAGCTTCATTTGTGACAAGGTATTATAAATATGTGAAATAAATTGAAAATACTTAGATATCATTCACATACAAACGACAAAAGAGTGCATACTAAGCACGAGATTCATCACCAAGACATAGGAAACATTTTGAAAGAAGTGCTTATTAAGTTTGACTGAAATTAGTGTAATAACAGAAATAATAAATTGCATTATAAAGCTTACTCCTCCTAATTTACAATCACTTAATACTATGAACCCATAATCTCACGTGAAATGAAACCAACAGATTTAGGATGCAACTGCAGGAATAATATTTAATGACCATTAAGTCGAAATGCAGCTAAAGTCACATTAGGAATATATACAAAAATTATCAAAGCACTGTATAAGTAAATGATAATCATGTGCGCTCATCAATAATAAATTTTAAAGTGGATTTCGTGCATTCTTTAAAAGAAACCATGGTTAGTATAATCAACCAGCTCACTTGTGAGGAAATTTGACGGTTTTATAAATTGATCGTCAGTTAAGATTACTTATATGCCAGCAGGTTCTAAGTATTGTAAAGGTATAACTTAAATTCATAACAACTATCATTCATAATCACTAATGCTTACAATTTAATTGTACTATTAAGAAAGAGTAAATATTACGTTTATCCAAAGTCATCTGTTCTATTCATTTACACCTAATGGTATTGCTAATATTCCATAAACACTGTTAAATAATTTATATAACAAGTTTTTCAGTGTGATTAAAATCTGTAATCATGAATACTTATGAGCAAATTTTATTCTGTTAATGTTTACAATCACTTACGATTTAATCAAAATCTAATAAGATGTACTAAAACTTTGTTCTCACTGAAGTTCAGTTTGAATATGATTTACCGTATCATGAAAATGGAAAAATTTTAATCCTTCCAGCACGGATTGGAGACAGCTATCCACTTCAGACAATGGATGAAGGGTTGTGCAAGATCATGAATCGATTGAAGTTAGACAATAACACAGATGGATGCCGGCTCAGTGGTCTAGGCGTTAAGCGCTCGTGCGTGAGACCGAAGGTCCTCGGTTTTGGTCCCTCATGCGAGATCTTGGATGTACATGGCTGAAGAGTCACATACTAGGGTGAATAGGACGTCCAGTGTTCTCAGGATTTCAATGATAGTCTAATTTACATGGACTCTTTAATTCAACTATTAAAGTTACTACAATCTCCACAAATCCTCACTCCGATATTAAAGAAATGGTAAGAATAATTCGAAAAAACGCTCAGTATACTTATGATGGGTAAACGCCTTTTCATTGAAATACATTCAAATAAGGAAGTTTGTAAACTTATAATTATTTATCTTAAACGTGAATAAAAGTGATTGAAATATAGGCGTATATTTCATACAATCTGTTGTCATAGTAAGTAATTAAGTGAAAATCACTCTTCTGTGATTTGTAAAGTTAATTATGTTTTATTATTATTATTATTTTTAAAATTATTTTGATATTAATTACTGCAAAAATGTGGTAACGTTATAGGTTGCTAGAAAATGATCATCATAATATGTTAATCTTCAAACTTATAAGTATAGTTTTCTTACATAGTATCCACTTAATGTCGAACATGATCTGATCAAAGTGTGAGAATATCCAACTAGTATTTTACTACGGAAAAGCATCATACATTGAACATCGGTGATAATCACCAGTAACTTAAACACCTTCAATTAGATAGTATAGAAAAAGAGTTCAAATTAGTATTGTTTATTTGAATCTTCCGATTGATGCTTAGGAATGCAATTGATCAGTCTCTTATTGGCATATGTGCATACTGTGAGTATTGCCTCGATATTACCTTAAGTCACAGGCATTGTAAGCAAAGATGGGTAGTGGCTAGCAGTGGAATCCAGGATGCGCGTTTCGTCCCATTTGGGACTCGTCAGCTGAATGTACCTTCATCTCAAACAAACAATACTAAGTGAATTTAAACTTCACCCCATTGCACAAGCAAGCGGCTATCAGGACTCGGTAGCTGAGTGGATAACGCGATGGCATTTGAAGCGAGGGTACTGGGTTCGAGTCCCAGAGTGAACATCAACTCTGAGATGCAGGTACATCCAGCTGATGAGTCCCAAATAGGACGAAACGCATGACGAATTAGTATAATCATTTTAGTTCCACTGGAAGTTATTCTTGTACTGAATGACTTGTTAATAACATCCCTGTTATGTCTAGATGTTAGATTCTAAATATACTACTCGAGCACTCGCTCGCTAGAATCCTCCAAGTTGCAAATGAAAAGACGGGAGATAAGTGAAAGTAGTTTTATTCCAAACAATGTCGAATATGGTACAAAACTCCCAGGTATTTATAGCTTTTAGTAAAAATGAAATCATTATAGTCATCCAATCCACATACAGTGGTTTTTAGCATTTGTCCAATAGGGAAGCTACACGTAGAGATTCTGGAATATCCTTCCAAAAGATGACTGTATGGGATATCTTCAGTTCTTTCTGAGCTTCTTGGAACCTCCTCGAACATACACGTGGATCGTCCTCACAATCTCTTATTGTAATACTGGTTAATGTACGTCCGAATGATGGAAATAGGTCTTACTAATAAGTAAGCAACATTGCTTCGATCAATTGCTTCAATCAAATCCAGTTAACTACGATTGAATATAATATCATTTATATCATTCAATAAATCCTTCAGTTCATGTTTACTATTGATATAAAATATCTTTATACAAAAAATTGAGATACTGAATCTCAGAAATACTTTTAATAAAAACTTCTGGTGTCATAATTCCGTGAAACAATTACAATATTTAACACTAATAGACAGTAAATTGTAAACACCAATAACTATCGTAGACGTTTGATAATTTCTAATTTTGTTTTTTTTTGTGAATTAAAATTAAATTGATTGTAATCAGAAGGGGTTTTGTGGAGATTTAAGTATTTTTATAGTTGAAATCATGAGGCAGGATCGTGGAGTTCAACCAGGTCTGTTGTGAGATATCAAGTCACTGAAGACAATTGGTGAATGGTTTCTCAACTTCGTGGATTGGTTGGAGTTAGAAATTAACACCATGGGATGACGGCTCAGTGGTCTAGTGGTTAAGCACTCTGGCGGGAGACTGGTAAGTCCTGGGTTCAAATCTCACGAGGCGGGATCGTGGATGCGCACTACTGAGGATTCCCTTAATAGGACGATTTGGCCGTCCAGTACTTCCAGGTTTCCCATGGTGGCCTAGCTTCAACTATGAAATTTATTGTTTAAATTTATTTTCATACACGTTTAAACTGTTGGTAATCGTCGTAGCTAATCAAAAAAGCGTAGATTTGATTCTCAAGATATCTGCTCAGTCTATTTCGTATTACTTACAAAAACTATATTTAAGGTCGATGAGGACACAGTGAATAATCGTT